TTCACAAAAGCATCCTTTACTTTTCCCAAATAATCAGCTTCATGGCTAGCTTTCCTGAGGAGTAATGAAAATACTGTTTTAAAAAATAACGGAAGCAAAGACATCAACATTTCTCATAATCCCGCTGGTTCAAAAAATTTCATAAAGCCTTGGCCAGATAGCTCGGTTGGGTGGAGTATTGTCTCCACACACCAAGGTTGCAGGTTCGATCTCCTGTCAGGGCACACACAAGAATCAACCAGTGAAAGCATAAATAAGTGGAACAACAAATCAGCATGTGTGTGTCTCTCTCTCTCTAAAATCAATAAAATTTTTTTTCATAAAGCAAGGGAAAATGTTTCTCCCTCAACCTGATCCCTTTCTTCCAAGTAAACCACTTTTAACAAGTTGTTGCACATTTCACCCAATTTGTTACCAGGTCTATGCAGACGTATTGAAGTACACACATACCCGAAATGCCAGCCACACTGACCCACACCTTGTTTATATTCTTTCATACTCATGGATGTTTTCCAAGACAACACCTACGGCTCTAACACATTCTTTTTAGTGGCTGCACAGTCTTCACTGCATGGATATATTGTAATACATCCAACCCTCCCCCTACTGATAGGCACATAGGTTGTTTATAATAGTTTTTGTTATTATGGACAATGCTGCAACACATATTCCAATATTTTCATGTATTTGTTGTCTTTTGACTACTAGGATGGATCTGAAAGAGTGGGAATGCTTTTACTCATGGGGCTAGAACACCAACAGTGTGGGAAAGGGTCCCCAGCCCCCTCCCCAGCCTTGCCAACACTATGTCCAGTCCAATCTGCTAAACCAAAAAATGCTAATCTCCTTGGGGTTTAATTTGCATTTCCCTGACTGCTGGTGAAGCTGAGCATCTTCTCATATGTTTGCAAAAATTTACGTTTTCTGTTCAGTGAATTCCCTACTCTTATCCTGGACCCAATTTCTATGAGGCTCTTTTTCCTACTCAGTGTGTGGTACCTCTCTGTGGACACAGGTATACTCTTCATCCCATAAATGAGGCAGGTGTTTTTCTATCATGTTTTCATCTTTTGATTTTGTTTATGTGGTGTGGGCTAACTGTAAATTTTAACTTTTATTGTTGTTATAGGTAAATATGTTAAAATTTTCCTTCCTCCTTTGAGGGCTTAGAAAGAATGCTAGTCTATATTTTCTTCTTATACTTTTAGAGTCTTATATGTTCCATTAAAATCTTTCATCTAAGCATTTAAAAATTCATTCATTCACTAATTTGTAACTGGGGAAGTCAGGGAGACCACTTTACTCCCAAGAAAGAGCCAGGGACTTGAAAATGATTTAGTCAGTACAAATTTACTCTTTTTTGTTTTTCACTTTGGCAGGAGGATCCAGAGACATGGCCAAGGAAAACCATGGCCCCCGAAGCTGCACGCAGCAGGTCTTTAACCCATGATTGAAGAAAACACCTAGAGGCTGCTGAGCTCCTGGTCAGTCACGGGTAAGACCTGTCTGAATGTGTGTGTGTGTGTGTGTGCGTGCGTGTGTGTTGCTTTTCTTTTAATACGGAAGGGAGGAAACATCCTCCTCCATCAAGAAAATCTCCTTATTCATCATAAACCAAATCTTGTGTGTAACTCTGTCGATATAAAAAATGTCCAGACCTGTAGATACTTTTTATAAGTTTATTTGAGCCAGACTGACGACATATGCTGGGGAGCAAGGCCTCAAATGCTCCTGAAAATAGCAGTTTTGCAGCTTCTTGTATGCGTTTAAGATGCAGTAGGGGATGCACATGAGGAAGGTTATACGGAGGTGGGAGAAGAAGGGCAGCGATTGGATCACTACAAGATTGCGGACTTTCTCAAGGGTGGTTGCAGTTTATTTCAAAGGTGTGTTGACCTAGATTCACAGAAACCGTGGACAGGGCTTGCTTAAGGCAAAGATAAAACTTTTACTAAAAAGTTGTATGCCCAGGGCATGACTACCCACCATAACAGGCCCGATTAGGGATTTATGACCAGATCACCCTGTGAAGTTACTTTCCATAGAACTCCTTTTTTGTCCACAACTCTCTATCTGTTGGTCCATCTTTCAGTGTATTTCCTTCCATCCCTGATACACTCTTAGAGGCTGTGTTAACTCACCTCTGTTCTGAATGGGGACAGTACATGCATGCGGAACCAAACCTTGTCTTTGAAGCCATCTGATTTATTTGGTGTGCAGTCACACAGACTGAGGGTGTGTCAGCATTTTGGAGAAGAATCTGTGCGGGTTTCTCTACAAGCTGTTCAGGAACAGTAACAAGGTTCCCCCACAGAATCTTTTATCTTTCCGTTTGCAAACGAAAGTACCAATAAATACTTGTTGAATTTTATCATTCTGTTAACTTTCAAATTCAGACTTGTCTGTAATTACTGGCTTGCCGTTAAAAGATGGAAATTAGAGATTGGGGCCCAGGAAGGATACGCAGTTTGCTGGGAGGCATACAGTCACCAGGTCTCTCGTCTTCCTGTCCGTTTTCTGCTACATTCTGCCCCTTGACAAAGGACAACTGGAGTTGGTGAAGGGCACAGATCTGGTGAGAGAGGACAAGGGTCGGACTTTCAAACATAGCAAGGGGGTCATCCTTGCCTATTTTAAAATCCTGCCATTTTGGTTAAAAAAAAAAAAAAAAAAAAAGGTAGGGCAGGCCTGCCGAAGGCCTGAAGAAGGTCCCGCCCTGACATTCACTCCTCCTTTGCTGATGAGCAGAAACTATCTGGGAGGAAAGCTTGCCTCCTTAGAAGGACTCATTTGGGGATTTCTGCCTTGGACGATAGAGTTCAGTCCCTTCTGTGCACAGGGACCCCGCTTTGCTCCAGGATGCCACTCTGAGCAAAGCAAGTCCTCTCCCGCAGGGGCTCCCAGGTCGAGGAAGGGAGACAGAGCCTGTTTCCTCATGGGCTCAGGCGGGAAGCCGGCATTAAACAAACACTCCCAGGAATATATAATTACAAATGGAGGTAAAGGATGTTTGGAGAGAATACAGCAGGAAGGCTTGGTTTAGATTAGGAGGTTAGGGAATAGCAGACGTGGGGTGTTAAGGGCTTTTGCAAAAGTGAAGACTTTTACATATGTGAGGGAAGTAATAATAATAATAAAGGTGCTCAGAAGGAGCACATCCTCATTCATGGGCCACTTCCTAGAACTTGGGGAATCTCTTTCTCTCCCCAGAATTGTGTAGGCATCTTGGGAAAGGGCTGGAAGAGCCTTCACAAATGCTAATCCGAGAGCATTTTACAGGCTTCTCCCCCTCCCCCCACCCCCGCCCCTGCAACCTCAGCTGTAACTAGTTTGAATGTTGAGGCAAATGGCAGGGATGAGTGGAATTTCCAGTTTGGAAAATGGGATATAAAGAAGCAACCCCAGCCCAAGCCAGGGGCCAGGTTTCTCTTATCCCAAACCATCCGAGAATGGTTTTTCAAAGCAAAATGCCACCTTGGTTTGTATTTGGCTGTGAGGGGGGGGGGCTGTCCAGGAGACCGTGTTGCTCCTGGGGAGATTGGGGATAAGGGCGATAATCTCTGACCCCCGCCCCCACCCCTTTCCCCAAACACACCTGTAAGAAAGCTGAGTGTAGGGAAGCGGGGATGTGGTAGGGGTGGTGGGAGGGGGTGAGGGTGAATGCTGCCGGATGGGGGTGTTAATTTCCCCGGAAGAATCTATCGTGTTCTGATAATAACGATAATAACTGACATTCACACTTGCGTGTTGGGCACTGTTCTAAGCGCTTTCATAACTTCTCTCTCGAAACAACCTATGGGTAACCACCGTTACTAATTCCATTTTGCAACTGAGGAAACTGAGGCACGAAGAGGCTCAGTGGTGACAGCAGCAGGACATTGGAGTTAAGGTTTCTGAGCTGAGGTGTGGACCCGTTAACTCCCGTGAGAACCCGACCCGCCTCCCGTAATTCGGCACAAAGCTGGTTTTGAAAGGTTAACTTGAGAGTTGGGGCCGTGGGAGGGTCTCACGCCCATTTACTTGGAAAGCCGAGCCCCTACCTCCTGCACGGTGGGGAGGGCTGGTTGACGGTGCCAAGGGGGCTGCGGTAGACCTACAGCGGGCCCTCCCCCCCCCCTTCTGTCCCCAGCGCAAGGTCCAGCAGCTCGGCTTTTCTGCTCGGTGTCCGCAAGGTGTCGCCTTCGGCCGAAGAAACCACGGCGGCACCACCCTCGTCGCCCGCAGTTATTTATTTTCAAACAAGGGGGGCGCCCCTCTCCGTTCAATGTAAAACTAGAAACATCCTGCGGTCTCGTTCCTAAGTGCGCACGTACTCTTTCATGTTGCACCCTGAGTGAACCTCCCTTGGGAATCGCACACGAGCAGCCCCTCCGCGGGGCCTTGCAGAACAAGGGTCTCACGCCTGGCCGCCCACAGACGCAGGCAAGGCGGGGGCTGCGTTAGGAGCCTCTGTTCCCCGCCCCCCACACCCGCCCCCCATAACTACACCCAACATACTCCCCCGGAGTCCCCTGGACATTTTTTTTTTTTTTTTTAACGCCAAGCAATTGCCAGACCCGTGGGGCGGGTGCTGCATCGCACTGCTTTGCACACAGCTGGTTTGCAGAGTGCAGCGGGTGCAAGCCCGGGGGTCTGAGAGGGTGGGGGAGCACGCCCCCGGATTCCCACCTTTGCAGCCCCCCTCTCTGCAAAGAAGAAAAGCAAGTGGCTTTTGGCGCGAAAGCCTTGGCGCCTCCCCTGATTTTTATGGAAATCAAGAGGGCGGGGTAAAGCCCCTTTCCTCTGCCTTTCTCCCTCCCCCTTGTCTGTGCCGCAGCCCCCTTCTCTCCCCGCCCCCCGGGTGTGTCAGATTTTTCAGTTAATAATATCTCCCGAGCTTCAAAGCGCAGCCAGTGACAGTCATCTGTCTGGACGTACTGGGTGAATGCGGGGGACTCCTGGGAACTGGGTTGGAGCCGAGCTACCGCTAGCCAGGCGCAAGCACGTATAGACTGCAGCCACCCGAGGACCACCCCGCCCCAGGCCACCCGGGGACCCCTCACACGTTCGCCTCTAGATCCCCAGCAATCTGCGGGAGGTAAGGAGCGGGTGGGGGGGCGGGTTGAAGGGTGCAAACGTCTTGGCGCCGGGGAAGCGCGAGCGCGGCGGTGGGAAGACCAGCCTGGGACCGGCTCGCGGCTCGCGCTCAAGGCGCTCCGCGTACTCGGGGGACTGCTGCCGTTTCCGAAACAAAACCTCTTCTGGCTTTCCTCTGAAAAGCCGATCCCAACCCCCAAGGCACCCCATCTGGAAGAGACCCGCCCTAATCCTTTTAGTACCCTTGCCTTTAATGGCTTCATCGGAAATAAATTCGCCCTTCTTTAGAACAGTTGTCTGGGTTTGAGCTGACGGGGACCCGGTGCGTTCCCACCCCGAGCCTGGGGTTCTTCAGAGGGTGCCCCCAGGGGAAGAAGAAGAGGGTTGAGGCTGGGCGAAGCAGCCGCGGTGGTAATCTGGGTCACGGCTGCTCCATCTCGGAGGAGACGCTGCTCTCCGGCGACCTTCCCCACGTTGGCCCCTGCACCGTCCCTGGGAGCTGGGGTTCAGGTCGTGCTTTCGCCCTGGGAGAGGACGTTGTTGAGGGTTGGAAGGGGGGCGGTGGGGTTAGGAAGGCACGAAATAAGGTAGCGGTAGGACTCTCCGTTCAGCGGGTGAAGGTTGAGGGGCGTCTGCTCAGACTGGGGGGTGGGGGGATAGATTTGGGTGCCTGTTGTTGGTGTCTGTCTAGAGAAAGGGTTTTTCCATTTGCAAAGTTTCGTAAAGCCCCTCTACCACTTGCACGCCCAAGGTTGCAGTTTTACCGCGGGGGGGGGGGTAGGGAAGATCGGGATACTCTTAGATCCAGCGCTCGGCAGCTGGGTCGGAGCCCCCGGCCCCGTTTTAGCTGCCGGCGGACATTGGTGCCACCGGGCTTGCCCGCGAGCTGGCGGGCTAGAATCCGGCGGCCTCGCCGGCGACAGCCCCCTCCCCCAGGCAGTTCCTTGTGTGAATGAAATGGCAGTTTCCAAAGTTGCAGAGCCACTGCCACCACCCCCCGCATCTGCATGCCCCCTCCCACCCTCTGTCGTAGACAGGCTTGTACACAAAAGGAGGGAGGGAGAGCGAGAGCACAGGCAGAACTTCCTCCACCTTCGGGAGTGCAGGGTGGACCGAGGGCTCGGAGCGGAGACCGAGGGACGGAGTTCGAGGGCCGCCACCGCCTCACCCCCAGTTCTGCTCCGCTTGCCAATCCTCCTGGTGTGCCTGTCGGTTGCAGTGTCGGAGGCTGGTGCGGGTCCCCGCCTTCCGCGCCCCCCACGGGAAGGAAGCGCCCCGAACTAAAAACAGAGGAACGGAAAGAAGCTTTCATTCGCCGGCTGGGAGGCGAGCCAATGCTGAGCTGCAGCGCGTCGAACATGCCGGGGATGATCTGCAAGAACCCAGACCTCGAGTTTGACTCGCTGCAGCCTTGCTTCTACCCGGACGAAGATGATTTCTACTTCAGTGGCCCTGATTCGACCCCCCCAGGGGAGGACATCTGGAAGAAGTTTGAGCTGCTGCCTACGCCCCCACTGTCGCCCAGCCGTGCCTTCCCGGACCACAGCCCGGAGCCCCCGAACTGGGCCACCGAGATGCTGCTGCCCGAGGCCGACCTGTGGGGCAACCCGGCCGAAGAGGACGCGTTCGGCCTGGGAGGCCTGGGCAGTCTCACCCCCAACACGGTCATCCTCCAGGATTGCATGTGGAGCGGCTTTTCTGCCCGGGAGAAGCTGGAGCGCGCCGTGAGCGAGAAGCTGCACCACGGCCGCCCGCCCGCCGGGCCCGCCTCCCTGGCCACCGGAGCGGGCGCCGCTAGCCCTGCGGGCCACGGGCACGCCGCGGGGACCGGCCGCGCCGGGGCCGCCCTGCCGTCCGAGCTCGCCCACCCGGCCTCCGAGTGCGTGGATCCCGCGGTGGTCTTTCCCTTCCCGGTGAACAAGCGCGAGCCTGCTCCCCTGCCCGCCGCCCAGGGCGGTGCTCCGGTGGTGGGCACTGGGGTCGCCTCGGTGGCGAGTGCCACAGCTCCAGCTGGCGGCCCGGTGGCCTCCCTTTCACGCACCGGGGGGCGCCCACCCAGCGGTGGTGACCACAAGGCTCTCAGCACCTCCGGCGAGGACACTTTGAGCGACTCAGGTAAAGACCAAGCCAGGGTCCGCCTCCTTCCTGGACCCTGTGCGGGGCTGTGCTCCCTTTGTTACAGGTCGTGGATTTAGGCTTTGTCCGGAAGCATTTGGGGGAAGTAGGGCTGGAGGCTGAGGTGTTTTTTCCCCCAGGTTGGTCCCCAAGGTAAAGAAGAGCGGATGAGTGGACGCTGGTATCCCATGTGTCACCTTCTTTGGAAGTTACTTCCAGCCTCACCCGGCGGGCTCATCCTCATCTCTGGGGCCACGCGGAGGCACAAAATTAGGAAAAGTGTAGGGGCTAAAGCCGGGTGGGAGTTTAGGGGGCAGCTGGCTGCTTGACCTGGGCAGAAACCTGTTAGCCCCCAGTAAGAGAGGGACCGTGTCCCAGGTCAGGGGTGGGGAGACACCCCGAGAGGGCAGGGGCACCGTGCATAATCCTGCAGAGAGGGCACAGGAAGTTAGAGGGAGATTGCACAGATGGCTGGTGGTGATTTTCCTTTTTCCAGCCTGGGTGTCCCTCTCCCCCTCCCTCCGCGGGTGGTGGGTTATTTGTTCATGGTATGTCACCAGCAGGCGGCGATATTCCAGGCAGGTCAAGGATCTGGATGGCTCCGGGGTGGTGGGGCCACCCCTGTCTCCACTCAGCAGCTGGCGGCTAGTCCACAGAGTTGTCCGTCCCGAGGGGCCACCTCTTTACAGCGCACAGTGCAACTGGGCCCAGTTTTGTCTTTAGCCAGAATTGCAGGGCCACTTTCAGGTCTGAGTGGTGTTTTGTGACCCAGGGTCCTTCAAGGTGAGGGCAGGCACTTACCCCACCCTCCAGAAATGCATACACCCTAGAAGCATTCATCGATAATTTCTATTGTGTGCCTTGTCTTGAAGGGTAGGGGTTAAATCAAAGACTCTACCCAAATACTGAAACAGCCCTTGTCCTTGGAGCTAGGAGCTCGTATTCCCTGGAATCTTGAAACCCAGTGTTTTCAGAACGCAGGCGGATTAAAAGCCTAAATTTCCTTCCAGGCTGAGGATGGATTCCTCTGAGGCTCCTGGAAGGAAACTTGGTGATAAGCCTCCCATTTCAGGCGGGTCTGTCCCTTTAATGTCGGTGCCTTGACAGCTCTTGGTGAGGAAGCACTTCCTTCCAACAGCTGTCTTCTTGGCAGAAAACCAAAACATTGGCTTAAAGGGACCCACAGGCTGGAACAGCCTCGCATTTCGGCTTTAGAACAAATCCTACAATTGTTCAGCTTTCCGGTCCCCTTCAGATCAAGCAGGAGATGTGTGTTGATTTTTCATGCTTGCATTTTAAACCATAATTTTCTATCCCAGCAAGTAGTACATGAGGAGAGGGGAGAATGTGCACAGGACGCTACACGTTTTTTGTTGTTGCTGTTATTGTTGGCGACGTGGAGAAAGGGGGGGCTCCCATATCTGGGTTTGGAGCTCCTGTGGATCATGACTGGAGAGTTTATATTTGATCTTTGCTGGCTGGAAAACTGCTTAATTAAATCGTCATTCCTTAAGGCTGCTTCAGGACCTAAAGTCAAACGCACCCGTGTGTAGAATTGCCAAGTGAAGACTGTAAAATGAGGAGCCTCAATGCTTAGGTGCAGAGATGGGAATGTGTAATAAATAAGTCTATGCTTGGGGGAGGGGGCTGGAGATGGTGTTAAAAACCACCATTTCCTGAGCATCTGTCTGGCAGGCCCTGTGCTCTACACATTACCTGTCCAGCTCAGGAACCCTGGGGTATGGTAGTCCCATTTAATACCTGAGGGAACTAAGGCTTAGAAAGGTTTAGTGACTTGCCCAGGGTCACACAACTTGTGTGGTACAGCCAGGATTCTGCCTGACACCACAGTCTAGGTTCTCTGTACATCTGCCACCTGCTGAAGGTTGAAAGTGCTAGGGGTTTGGGGGAAGGAGGAAGTGTTTACAGACATGTTTAATTTTAAAGAAATATAAACTACGTTTTTGTTCTTGTGTGGAGCCATAAGAGTGAACTGTGCCAGGGCCTGCCTAGAAGAGGTTGTGTAATTAGAGAGATGATTTTCATGTGCCTGACTGTGAGAATAACCCCCATTTTGTTCTTGAAGATGATGAAGATGACGAAGAGGAAGACGAAGAGGAGGAGATTGACGTGGTGACCGTGGAGAAGCGGCGGTCCTCCTCCAACAGCAAGGCCGTCACCACCTTCACCATCACCGTGCGCCCCAAGAGCGCAGCCCTGGGCCTGGGGAGGGCCCAGGCCGGTGACCTGGTCCTCAAGCGCTGTGTCCCCATCCACCAGCAGCACAACTACGCCGCCCCGTCGCCCTACATGGAGAGTGAGGATGCGCCGCCCCAGAAGAAGATTAAGAGCGAGGCATCCCCCCGCCCTCTCAAGAGTGTCATCCCCCCGAAGGCGAAGAGCTTGAGCCCCCGCAACTCTGACTCGGAGGACAGCGAGCGCCGCCGGAACCACAACATCCTGGAGCGCCAGCGCCGCAACGACCTGCGGTCCAGCTTCCTCACGCTCAGGGACCACGTGCCAGAGCTGGTGAAGAACGAGAAGGCCGCCAAGGTGGTCATTTTGAAAAAGGCCACCGAGTACGTCCACTCCCTGCAGGCCGAGGAGCACCAGCTTTTGCTGGAGAAGGAGAAGTTGCAGGCAAGACAGCAGCAGTTGCTGAAGAAAATTGAACACGCTCGGACTTGCTAAGCCTTTCTCAGAACTGGACAGTCACTGCCACTTTGCACATTTTGATTTTTTTTTTTAAAACAAACATTGGGTTGACGTTAAGAATGTTGGTTTCCTTTCACATCGGTCCCCCGTCGAGTTTGGATCTGGGTGGGGAGCAGGACGTGTGTGGGCTTCTGCCAGGACCTCCGCAGAGGGCCTGCGAGATGGGATGCTGTGGCCCCTGGCATTTCCTCCAAGTCACCTCCAAGGCAGTGGTCGAAGTTTGTGACAGCTGGGAGCCATCGGGGCTGTTGGAGTCACCTTGTTTGTTCCAAGTTTCCAAACGACAGAAAGTCATTCCTTTTTCAAATGGTGCTTAAGTTCCAGCAGATGCCACGGAAGGGGTTTGCCATTCAACGCCCCTGGGGAACATTTCTGTAAATACCACTGACACACCCGCCTTTTCTATGCGTCCTGGGTAATGAGAGGTGGCTTTGGTGGCCAATGTTAGACTGGAAGTTCATGCCTAAGTACTGTAATACCTCAATGTTTGAGGAGCATGTTTTGTATACAAATATATTGTTAATCTCTGTTATGTACTGTACTAATTCTTACACTGCCTGTATACTTTAGTATGATGCTGATACATAACTAAATTTGATACTTATATTTTCGTATGAAAATGAGTTGTGAAAGTTTTGAGTAGATATTACTTTATCACTTTTTGAATTAAGAAAACTTTTGTAAAGAAATTTACTATATATATATATGCCTTTTTCCTAGCCTGTTTCTTCCTGTTAATGTATTTGTTCATGTTTGGTGCATAGAACTGGGTAAATGCAAAGTTCTGTGTTTAATTTCTTTCAAAATGTATATATTTAGTGCTGCATCTTATAGCACTTTGAAATACCTCATGTTTATGAAAATAAATAGCAATTAAATGATACGACTTCTTTTTTTTCCCCCCCTTGATGGCCCTGGTTAGAGTCGGTCCCGTGAACTGTGACCATAACATTACACAGAGAGGGAACTTGGTGTCCGCAGACAGCCCTTGTGCACCTCTGCAATCCTGGCTGGGGGTGGGGGGCTGTTGTCCCCTTGGGGTGGAGGCAACTGAGTTTAGGAAGGTTATGACATCTTCTGGATTCCACAGAACAGAGAAGTGACTAGTGATGGCATCGTCGCAATAGCGCTCAATACTTTACAAAGCACTTTCTTGGGTTGGACATTGAATGGAATTAAGCTAGGATGTCAGACATCAGTCCTTCAGCCGGAGTAGTCAGGGCAAGGTTGTGTAATTCGCCTGTGTTTGGTGTCAGCAATGCTTGTCCCATTGGCAGATGGCTTTATATTTCGGTGCAATTTGTCTCTAGGAGAAAAGCGTTCCTCCAAGTTCACCCGGACTTGGAAGGATCTGTGCTGGCTGGGCTTTGTGGCAGAATAAACATGAGGTTGGTCTCTGCCCTCAAGGAACTCAATCTGATTTACAGAAGTAACTCCTGAAGTTGACAGCTGTGTGACATGCCCCTTCAGAAGAGTCACTGGGGTACAGTGCAGCTCTGTCCCTCTTAAGCTCCTGTCATTTCACAGGCTGGTCTTTGGGCTGCCCTGTGGAAGCAGAATTAACCTCTACAGGCTCTGGAGGACAGCCAGTGCCAAAGGGGAGTGGGGTGGGCACATGCTGCCAGGAAGGAAGTTTAGCTTCCCAGATTGGAGGGGACACTGGCTGGTGAGACATTCTGCTCAGAGTTGAAAGCCCATAAAAATCTATTTCTCTCGCAGGTGACATGTACTGGATTATTTGTGTAAAATTTCATCCAGCTCAGATTTTTAGCTTCACACTGGAAAAGGCCTTCTGCTGCACTGAGAAGAAAGCAGGTCTAGGGATGAGAAAAGCTTTGCTCATCTGGTCACAGCTTACGAGGGCAGAGATGGGAGACCGGGGGCCTTGTGGCTCCCTGTCTGCTTGGGCCATTTTATAAAGCCCAGTGCGAGACTAGAACTTGAGCTCCTCTGGAGTCGGTTCCCAGCCACATACCCCAGAGCTCTGAGGATGGTATTGCCCTGGACATTCCCAATGGCCAGACCATCCCCATGCTAGAAAAATAACGAACCTGCTTTGAAAGCCCATTTTGAGTGGTCATTCCCAAAACTTCCTGGCCATGTATCGCCTGGCCTCTGCACCTTGTTGATACCACCCTGAGCCAAAAGAAAATTCAGCGACCTCAAAGTAATTGGCCACCCTAGATTCTTGGCGCCCAGCTTCTCATTAAGGGGCCTACCTGGGTGTTTCGGCTTAATGAGCTGGAAATCCAGCCATGAAGGAGGAAAGTAATGAGACCCTAAACTAATTTCTACCGCGCTCTATATTTGCTCTGGCTGCCGGGAAGCTCAGAACCGAATTCCACACTCTGGTCCTGTGTACCTGGTGCCCATGCTCTTTCCCCCTAAATGTCTCTGACCTCTTGTATTTGATTTTCAGTTTAAGCACCTTTTTAAATGTTCTTTATCATGCTACACTAAAGAGGAGCATTTCACATTAGGTGGATCATGAATATACATTTGAATGTTAAAACTAAATGCCACGTGCCCTTCCTGGTCCCGTGGAGGGAAAGCGTCACCCGGTTTGACTGCAGTTACCTGTACGGTCATTGCTGTAGTCACTGTGGAGCTGACCCACTCATTTCAATCACATGAGAAACCACCCCTGCAACAAGTCATAGGACTTGGGGGGATCACAGAGATCATCCCCCCGGATGACTTCATTTCAGAATGGGGTCATGAGGTCCTCTGTCAAGTCAAGGGCCAAGCCGGGGACTGGAGTCGGGTCTCCTGATCAGCCCATGTTCTCCCCACAGTGCTGGTTTTCCAACCTCTCCCGAGGCAGCCTCCGCCTCCTGGCTTGCCCTTCCACCTGCAGCATGCTTCCACATTAATCCTAAATCACTGGCCGTGGGTGAAAACTTTCAACGGTTCCCTACCACTTAGGGGATAAAGTCCCAACCCCTCAGCCTGGCACAGACGCTGCCCTCACCATGACTCACCAGCCCCTTCCCTACTGCCCGCCTCGAGCTTTCTCACCTGTGACTTGTCTCACCCTGTCCCCTCCTCCTGCATTGTCCAGTTTCTGTGCATTGAAACCCTTCCTAACCTGCAGTGGTTAGGAAGGATTCTCACCCGGGAAGTCTTCCTCACACCCCCAGGTGGGTCCTTCCCAGCCTGAGTGATCTTGCATTGATTGCCTCTGGCGGTAGAAGAGGTATCCAATCACGGGCCTATATCACAGACTCCCCTAAGGCCGGTTCGGCAGCCCATTTGCCCCTGACCTTCAGCCTCAGCCTAGTGACTGACAGATGGCAGGACCTTGGCAGACACCAAAAGAATAGCTAGTGGCTGAGTAGCAGTGGAGGAAGGAGCCAGGTGAGGAGCACACGGGGGCAGGTTTTCATGACAGGTGTATCTCTTGCCAACCCTGGTTCCAAGCTCTCAGGCTAATGCAGACAGAGCAGCACATCTGTTAGGCATCAGGGAATTTCCGGGCCCGACGGCCCGAAGTGAAGACGGAGATGGAATGCTCATGGCGGCCCAGGTAGGCCTGTCTTCAGGAAGCCTGCAGTCTGGAATGGAGTTCGGCCCCTCGTGTAGAAGGCAGGGAGGGGAGACAGGAGGGACCAGTGCAGAGTAGGGGCCTGTTGAGCAAACATATGTAGGGTCTCACGGCTGCATCAGGCTCTGCACCTTCAGATTCCCAAGTTTGGAACTGTGTCAGACGAAGCCGGTTTGCGGGTCTGCCACAAGGCTGAGGCGCCTCGCAGGCATGTCTGCGACTGTAGGCCACCTGTACTATGGCGGTGATGATTACAATGCCTCCAGCTTCTATGTAGCACTGTAAGATCGCCCGGTCTTCCACACGTGAGTCCCACAGTCTTTCAGGAGTGCTGACCGCTTCATCTTTCATTTCAGGAGCTTGGTCTTTTGGGTTTGACTTTCATTAATCTCTGTGGTGCCTGTCTTTTGAGATCTTAATTTGGGCTACCTTCAGAATCAAAGGGAGCAGCTGGAAAGCCATGTGGCTCAATCTCCCATTTCAGAGGTGGGACACCAGACAAGAAAGGAAGAGCATCTGTGTGGTGCCCACAAGTGTTCTTCTCTCTTTCGTCCTCCCTGCCTCCCTCCCTCCCTTCCTTTCTCTCACTCTCTCTTCTCACACGGAATATTTATTTATCACTTATCATGCATCAAGTACTGGTCCAGACACTCAGGAGACATCAGTGAACAAAACAGACAAAACTCTTCCAAACCCCTGCTTCACGGACTTTGTAGTCTAGGAGAGAGTGACAACAATAAAACACAATAAGCAAATGCATCAAATAGCATTCAGGAAGGTGGTGGATGCTACGAAAGGTAAGTAGAACGGCTGGGGGATTCTGGAATGCACAGCAGGAGGCGGGCGGGGTGCGGTTTTGGGTGGGGTGGTCGGGAAGGTGCAATGAGACAGGAAAGCTTCGAGGCAGACCAGCCCCAGGCACCGTAGTGGCTGCTCAGAGTCCAGGAGTCAGGCCTGCGGCTTCCCTGGTCTGGTCAGGGTTCTTCCTCCTCCGTCTCCTTCTGGTTATTGGCAAATGCACCCCCCGCCTCCGACAACTTCTTTTGCAGTCTTTCAAGGGGAAATACCAGAGTGGAACGATGAAGAGTATGGATCTGCAGCGAGACTCCTGGGTTTGCCTCGGACTCCCACACCCACAGCTCTGGCTTGTGCCACTCACCCACTGTGACCATGATGGTACCACCCAGTTTCCCAGGTTTTAGGGGGATTACAGAAACTCACAAATGTACAGCACACAGAAGAGCGCCTCCCACATGACGGGTACGGTTGAAGTCCATTAAACACTCTGATTTCTCATTGACATGATCTTGCCTCTCTCTTTTTCCCTGTGTTACCAGGGCAAAGAATCTTTAAAAACACATTTACTGGTAGAACAAAAATCACAAGCCTGAGCTTAGCAAGAAGTTGTGGACTTTTGTTTCTCTAAGGAGGCCTTAACAAAAACCTGAGAACAGGTACCTTGGAAACAAATGAATGTGAGATTTGAAGCCTCTCTCAGACGGAGCCTAGGAATTTGAGTGCCGCAGAACATGCATGCCATCCACAATGGTTTATTAGTTTTCCCTGCTTGTAAAGGAAATCTCTTCATAGGCCACTGACCAGGGCTACCTGATCTCTTTTGATATCGACAGATCATGCTACAAGATATTCATCCTGAAACCTTTGACAAGGAGAAGTAACAGAGCCTTTTTATGGTCGAAGCAGACAGACCTACGGGGACAAGCCACGTTTGGAGGACGTGCGTAGCACATGCCCCAGTGATAAAAACGCATGATTTGCTACGGGCTGTGCTCTGAAGGGGACATGCAAATTCGGCTTTCTTCTGCATCCTAATGGGCCTGAGATCTTCTGCAGGCTTTCGGAAGGGCTGTGGTGGGGAGAAACTAGTTCGTCCCTTCACAGACCCATCGCTGATAGGGGTTGAATTCTGTGTCCTGTGCCCTCCTCCACCATTTTTCTAGGCATCAAAGCAGTCCCCCCATCCTACAAAATCAGGTTCCCCATGGACTGGGAGGCAGCCCTGGCTAATAGGTGTAATTAGTTTACAGGCAGAAGCCTTCGGCTTGGAGCTAAGCTCAGTTATCTGCTATTTTCATCCTTGGCATAGGAAGGTCACCGTTTGTTGCTCTGTTCTCATGCCTATAAGTGGAATGGGTGGGAGCTTGTGATCTCCAAGGCACCCTTTCCATTCTGAGGACTGAGAGTCGTTGATCCTCCGGGGTGGCTTGGGTCTCTGCAAACATCTGTGGTGTTCATG